GATATGACTAAAATGATTAAGCAATTGTCGAGGACAATCTAGGTTTACCAAAGATTGGTTGCTCAAGGATTTTGGAAGTATAATGTCAATTCTGGAAGGACCATATTGACATAATCTGTAAGGAGGCAACTCTTGTTCAGAAGTGATAGTCAAAATGGAATATGGAAATGTTTCAAAGTTAGAAATTATTCAATCTGTGGTAAGATTAGGAAACTTAATGAAAGAAGGATGTTTCCAAGGAGCTGATCTCCTTTGGAATGCTCTGTAATGATTGTTGTCAAGTCTTTCTGACTTTGGCATAATCATTAAGAGGATCAATGCATATAAGTTTAGAATATAACAGATTTCAGTAAATGGCATTAATTTGGAATTCTTACATTTGTAGTAAGGATTTGGGACTGTGAAAAGAGGATCATTGGAGTGATGTTCAATTGATCTATTTTACAAAGTAAAGATCATAGACAAATATAGTATGCATACTTGGTGTATGGCATGACTAGTGTTTAGAAAACATAGTGTACATGCTTGGAGCATGGGACAACTATTGTTTTAAATTCAAGTATAAAGTTGATAAAACCGAAACAATGAATAATGAGTAATCAGTATGGTGATAAATAAAAGTTTTTATGTATATTCATAGGGTTTGATACCATATTTGATTCATTTATTCTTGTGTTTCACTTTGCATGTTTTGACTTCCAGAATAACTAAGTCGCTCTTCCTGAATGATAAGTTATTCAAACCATCCACAGTCGGTCATATGTTGGAAGTAGATATGAATCAAGACTGTCATGGGTTGGTTTGTAGAGGTCCAAGTTGGTGGACAAAGTGGTGCTACAACACTCATGAGTACTCATAAGTTCTGAGCATTGGATTCAACCCACGCTCATTTGAATTACTTCATGGATTTTATCACGAGTGATCATGAGACGATAATATCTTATATTCTTAAAACCTAGAGATATGAGTTGTTACTATGAGTTGGTTATACATTGATTGCACGAAAACACATTGGTAACTCATGTTATAAAACGTGCCTTTGTGTATAAATATCTGTGGGCCCCTCGATGATTTAGCGATGACACATGTGAGTGCTTGGCCAAGCCAGGACTGATTTGATTTGTTCAATCAGTCAGTCATCATAAATCGAAAATCGGGAAACAACAAATGGACAGAGAAGATTATAATCCATGTCTCAGTCCATATGATATCTAGAATGGAGGAATATATGATCCCTTATCTAATGGACAAGTCATTGACAAAGGTCAGAGTTCATCGACAAGGTCAGAGTTCGACATAAGCTTTTGAGAGCTACGATTGCTGATCGGTTCCTGAAGTCATACGCAATAATAGTTTTAGACTTATCCAAGTGGGAGACTGTTGGATTAATGTCTAAGTCCATAACTATAATTAGTAAGACTTGACCCGACCCGGCATGGTCCATTTGGGTTGCATGACATCATGCATTTGGATAGACTATAATGAGAGAAATAACACTTAAGGTTGGTTAATATATTATAAGTTCTAATACATTAATAAGGTTATTTAATTAGTATTGATCAAGAATTAATTTGGAATTAATTAAGTGATCAAAAGGAGACTAATTAAATATATGGGTTGATTGTGTAAATCATTCATTCTTATATATGTGGGCTTGTGATCCAAGATTTCTTATGTTGGACTAAGTCCATGGGGTGACCCATGGATACTCCATGGAGGTTAAAATCCATGGAGCATAAGGAATGGGTAAAGTTATGAGTTACATGGTGTAACCCTAATAGCCACCATATAAAAGAATCCCATGGCTCAAGAAATCGTGCACTAATGTGTGAGTGTGAGGGCTAGACGATTTCAAGGAGTGTTCAAGTTTCTCTCAAGTTATTCCAAGTGTATTTGGTGTTGTGTGAACCATTTGAGGTGTCACACTTGGGGCACTAGGCACTCAAGCTTCATGAAGACATTCTACATCAAAGAGGTATGTATTCTATCTTGTTATATTTATTATTTTGTATGCTAGATTAGGATAATACCTTGGATGTTCATAATTGTATGTATAATAGAGAAAACATAGATCCAAGGTATTTAGGGTTGCATGTACACTTAGGAGTGTTAGAATGCTCATAACCCAACAGTGTTTTCACAATATTTTCTTATGAATGTTTTTATGAGTCAGTTAATTAAAAAGAAATTTTTGGACTTGAAAATTGGGATGTTACAGGGACTCCTCGTGGTTAATAGGGTATCGTCAGAAGAGAACCCAACAGATCCCTTCACAAAGGGTCTGAGCAGGGTTAAGCACTTACAGCATGCGAGGAGCATTGGTCTGAAGGACGATATTAGTTTTAGTGATTAGATAGTTGTTTGGAAACTTGTAATAGATAAAATGTAATTGACATTTGATGATTAAATAAAAGAGTTTTATTTATAAGTAAAGTTTACTATCATGTGTCAATTGTTTACTATTGTTTCACATTTACATGTTTTACTTCCAGAATGATTAGATTGTTCAAATTATCCACAGTCGGTCATACTTTGGGAGTAAGTTATGAGGTTAAACTTTCATGAAATGGTTCGTAGATTGTCTAAGTGTTTAGACATAGCAAAGGTTTGATGCAACGTTCATGAGTGCTCTTGAAATAACATTTGAGTATTGGATTAAACCCACGCTCATTTGAATCACTTCATGGAATTTATTACGAGTGATTGTGAGACGATAATATCGTATAATATTTAAACTGAGATATATGAGTTGTTGTTTACAAGTTGGTTGTGCATTGATAATGCGTAAACGCATCAGTAACTTGATGTTATAAAACGTGTTGTTGTGTACAATTTAATGTGTAAATAGTACAATAATATAAGTCACAGTTTATCTGTTCCTTTTATCCTAGGAGGGTAAAAGCGATATCTTGGGCCCCTCGATGATTTTGTGTTGACTTATGTGCCGGGCCCGGTCAGGACTGAATTTGATGTGTTCAATTAAGTTCTATGTCAAACGAATCAGAAGTCGGGAAACAAACTGCTAGACATTAAGAATGATTATGTTCCATGTCATTGTCCACACGATATCTTGCAGAACGAAGGATTATATGATCCTTCTAAAGGACGCGCCATTGACTAGGTCAGAGTTTGGCAGCGGCTTTTGAGAGCTACGATTGCTAATCGGATTTTAAAGTCGTACTTGCAGTTATAGTTATTAGACTTATCCAAGTGGGAGACTGTTGGATTAGGTGTCTAAGCCCATAACTATAATTGGTATGTACTTGACTCGATAGTAGCATGGTCCTTTTGGGTTGCCTTCACCATCACAATTTGATAGGATGAATTATGGAGAGAGAGGATAATTATGATTTGTTAATATATTATAAGAATAATTTATTAATTGAGAAATAATATTATTTAATTAGTATTGATCAGAAATTAATATGGAATTAATTTGGTGATCAAAAGAGACTGATTAAATTACGGGGACTGATATTGCAATTATATGATAGTTGCAAGTTGGGCTTGTGGATCCCTAGGAAGGGGTGGACGAAATTCTATGTGTAGCCCACATAGATTTCGTCCAAAGGAGGCTTTCTGAAAGGATCTACTGGAGTGCTTAAGGCTTAAGCAATCAGATTAGGGTTTTACCTGAAACCCTAGCAGCTCAGCTATATAAGGAACCCTTGGCTCCTTGAAATCGGCTAGTGCATTAAGCAAAGGAACCCTAGCCGATTTTAGAGCCTCACCCTCTCTCTCATATTCTTCCAATTGCTACTTGGTGTTTGTGACTCATTAGAGGTGCAACAATTGAGGCACTAAGCTCTTGAAGGTCAAGATCTACAAGCTACAAGGAAAAGGTATTCATCTAACTTTGTTTTATGTTATCAATATCAAAAATTATATGCTAGATAGGGTTCATGCTTTGGATGATTAGAATTGCATGTATAACTTGAGAAAAACCTAGATCCAAAGCATTAGGGTTGCAGGTGCACCATAGGAATGATGTAGTGCTCAAAACCCATCAAGACAAACTTTACATCCTTCGTCACGTCATCTACGTGGGATTTTAGGATTCCCATAAGCTTCGCCAAAGTGTAACTTTTGAACTGTTCATGAGGATTCTCCTCTATTATTTCACGCTTGATTTTGTGTTTTAACATCCTACTTAAAAGATGATTAAAACGACTGAATGTTTGATCAAGTTTTTCTTCAGGATTTTAAACAGAAGCACCAAACTCCAAAAGAAGCAACGTTTGAACCGAATGCTCCAAATCAACGTCGCTTGAATAAAGCTCATTTAACCTATCACGGATTTCTTTTGCCGTCTCACATGCACTCACCAGACGAAAAGTATCTGGTGGAAGAGCAAACCTTATTATTCTCAATGCCTTGATGTTACTCTGCAACTTGTCTTTTTCATCTTGAGGAGTATCTTTATGATCAGCCATTATTGCGTTGTAGTTGGCTTGAGTCTTAACGACCTTCCTAGTAGCTGTGTGAGAGAAAGTCTGTTGCATCATAGCCTCCCATATGGTTGAGTCGTGTTCTTCAAGACCTAGAACATAGTCTTCGAAGTGTAATGCCCAGACTTCATAATCCTGCGGAAAACACTACAAGAAAAACAGCTTTTTACGACGCGCATTTTACGACACGCACGGATTTACGATACGCAAAAGTGTGTGACGTAAAAATAATGTCATCTCTCCTAAAATTTAAAGGATTTAGGACAAGCATTTTTGCGTGCCCGAAAATTAGTGTCTAATAAAAAAACAAGGAGGGCACCTTAAATAAAATGTGTGTTGTCTAACCATGTCGTTTTATAAATTTTAATCAAACGCGCGTCCATCCCGAGGGCAAATGAAATCCCAAAAATTAAAAAACCCGTTTTGTTTCCACCAGCTGAAAACCCTAGCTCGTCCCCGCCGAAAACCCTTTTTCTTTCTTTCTGCTCTCTCGATTCTCAAACCTCCACCACTTCACTTCCCACCGACGACCTCCGCTCACCTCTCCCCCCCCCCCCCCCCCTCCGAAATTCAGTTGCTTCTAATTTGGTGGTTATTACCCCAGTTCCTTTCGAGTTCTCTCCGATTAAATGATTTATTGCCGAGTATGAAGCCTCTACAAACCCTACCTCGACTCCATCGCCATCTACTTCTTCCCAACGGAGACCTGCTTTTACTCCATCGTCGTCTACTTTGCCCTCTGTCGCTATCATTCTCTCTCCACATGCCTCGACAAACCAATTGTACCTTATACCATTCAACGTCTTTCTCCCAGTTGAAGTTGAAGACGAACACTTAAATCGATCTGTTTAGGGTTACGATGCTCTGTTTCCAGGTTTGACGCTATCAATCTGGTTTGTTTTTCTTCAACAAAATGTAATTATGTAAAAAAAAAATTACAACATTTTCATTCTTTTATTGGTTTTCTCATTCGTTTTTCAAGGAAATCTGGAACATATTTCATCAGTTCTTCTATTCTAACCGTTAAACATCTCTATAATTGACCCCCTAAAAGAAATTTTTATAAGAAATATCTTTGATTCCTTGCCGAACCCCTTGGTGTTTGCGTGATTAGCTTTTTTTTCTGATTACTCTGTTAACGGATTTGTTCAGGAAACAACCGTTATTTTGATGATGGAGAAGAACCCATGTACGGTAGGTAAACCCATGTTACTGAATATTTTTCATATTGTGTTCTTTGGCTTTTGTTGCTCAACTCACAAGCTTGTAACCTACAAGAGCAGTTCCACATGCTCGAGCAACATTTGGAGGGTAAGTTCTCGTATTTTAATTCAATTTCCAACTCTAAAATATCTCTGAATTGATTAGGTTTTTACCCTGTAGGCATCTTCTGGAGTGTGCTTTCAATTTACACTTTTTTTTAAAAACCTTCTACAGCACAAATGGGAAATATCACAACTAGCAAAAGTTACATATGATATATGCACAAAGAAAAAGAAATCTCCCTTGGTATTTCATAAATCATCCTAGAGGTCGGTTTGTGCAACCCCCTGGTCTGGGGTTCATAGCCCTAAAATATTTGTAAGGTTTTCAATTGGGTCAAATTGTTTTGTCAACTAGGTCCTTTGTTGATGAATATGATGGGAAATTTTATCCAGATCATCAATATTGTGCAGAGAATAAGTGCTTCCATTTATACTTATGAATTTAGTAGAAAACCCAATTGCACTTCACCTGTTTGATGAAATGCCTCAATGAGACATATGACTTTAATTTTCACCAAATGTAAGGCTACTGCCCAGAATCAAGTGGATTTGTAAGGGATCTTTACTGCATAATTTTTATTTTATTTTTATTTATTTTTATATTTTCACTCAACCAAAGGCCTTGATCATCTTGCTGCTTTTAACTGTTGAATTCTGATTAGGTTTGATATTACAGATGATTACCTTTGTGTTTATTCTATTTATTTTATAATTTTGACAATATTCTGGCCTATGTGTTATATTAGTTGGTATTTGTAGCTTTAGTGTAGCTCTATTTTGGATGTCCTCAGAATCATACATTTGCTTGTGATGTATTTAGTTAAATATTTGAAAAGTAACTCTTTGAATCATGTTAGCTCTTTTAATCTAATTTTAAGGTTTTAACTTTGTTATTAAGCCACTTCACTTTTCGTATGTGATTTTTTAGTTATATTCACTCAAATTCAGTATTTATATTATTGTGTGTGCCTATCTGACCTTAAAGATTCATTGTATGTTGAAGAATCATAAACCAAATCCAATGATTTGATAAATTGCTTCTCTCAAATGAACAAAATGAAAAGACAAAAGGAAATATAAATTTGTGAACCACTGAGAAGTTAAGAAACCAATAATTGATGTTGGTAGTTGATTTTCATAGTAAGTTGCTATAATGTCTGTACTGTAGCTGTTCATGAATCTTGATTGACACTATTATACATGTTGGTTGCTTTCATTGGCTTATATTTAAGAGCATGAAACTAATTCATGCTTAGTGCATTCTATAACTCTACCCATGTCCCATGTTGTTAAATATCTATAAAGTTGTTTTATTGAAATGTATAATGAAATTTGTGCTAAAAAACTTTCAACCATCCTAATTAGTCCTTGAAACAATGGTCAACTTCAATTTATTACAGGTTGTTCATGTTTTTTACACTGTTTACATTATTTTTTCACACAGCAAAATAGATTTCAAAAAGTACAAAAGATCAACCTGGTAACTTTGATATCTTTAAGATTATGTTATTGGCAGTTGTTATACTTGTTCCAACATGACAATTAGCTTTTCACACATCACAAGTTTGCAAAGAACTTGGAAAATACTTAAATATTCAAGTAATGGTTACGACAGGTGGAACCAGCTTAAAAGATGACATAATGAGATTGTATTAACATATTGATCTAATATTATAATAGGTACACTGTCGAGTCAGGGTAGTCTAGAACCTTCCTGCGATGCAATTGGCCTGATGGATTGGTGAAAACCATCTATATAAACGTCCTGTATACAAGAGAACACAGGTCCCTGATTTAATGTGGACTCTAGAATCTAGATGTTATTGTTGTTTGTTCAGCTGATTTATCCACTGATTATAGTCATCAAATATTCAATATAGTCTTGATCGATAAGATAATAAAATTGATAAATTTACAGTAAACAACCCCCAACACCCTTTTGTTATCTTGACTTTTGCATTTTCATCATTTAACTAAATGCATTTTCATCATGTTGCAGGTCAGTACAAGGGCAGTTTGGGTATTTTTATTGATTAGATTTTATCAGATTGAACAGTTTTGCCAAATTCTTGAAGAAGGGCCCAGTCCAGTCCACGTAAGTTATGATTAGCATCAACAAACTTATATATGTCTAAATTTGCTTATTTATACTCTCTCTCTCTCTCTCTCACGTGTGAAGGCAAGAGAGAAAGAACATGAACAGGAAAATGCTAGAGAAAGAGAAAGGGAACGAGGGCATGCTAGAGAAAAAGATAAGGGTAATTTTGCATAAGGTAATTTTGCATTCTTTGTGTTAGAGAAATATGATTTACCATGGTTATAACTTATAAATCTAGCTATATATATTATTATTATATATTGTTTTTCCTCACTAATGTGAAATAGGAGCAGAACCAATGGAGATTGATACAAGCTCAACAACTTTGCCTTCCGTTATCCCTAACTCTGATGTGATAATTTTAAAAGGTCATACTTCTGAGGTCTGTGTAAATTCTTAATTTCTTAAATCTTGCTTTAAACTTTTCTTGAAGAATATTGGTTCTTTTATAATTTTAGTTTTCTTGTCATAGATACAGTAATACATCTGAACATTTAGACTTTATCACTAGGATTTAGATCTGACGTCTATAATCGATAGAAATGATGAAGACGACGAGACAGATCCAATAAAAACGCAAACCCTAACAGAACTCGACAGACGATTAGTGTATGATTTACACAATCTCCTGCTCTGATAACTATTGTAGAAACCATAAATTAATGATCGATAGATTCTAAACAGTAAAGTGAATCAAATAACAAGAACAATGATCAAAGATGTGTCGAATACTTAATATTATCAAAGCTTTAGAAGAGTTCAACATGAACTTTGTTGTAAAAGCTAAGTGGGCAACACAATCGATTTACCCTAAAACAATACATGCATGCACATTAAATAGTCTAACACTAGCAACATAAATACGGATGGACAGGCCCAATCCGTTAACAGAAGACTAATTATGTACATAACAATTTGACACAATACATTAAATATCCCTACAGACTCATCATTCAGATTTGAGTTCTCCCTCTGGAGTGGATCATTTCAGTTGAAGTTTGGAGTGGAACTCTCCTGCTGGATCAGATCATCATGAGGTTCTGATTGAGTTGTATTACGAATAGGTTGCTCGTGAGGAGTCTCAATTTCTTTAGCAGCTTTATAAACAATGTTTATTAAGTCATCCTCTTAATTATCCTTGGCGTTTGATTCTGAGGAAATTGCTCTTTCAGGTTCATCAAACAAATTTATAAAATCCTCATATAGATTCATAAGAGGAATAGTCTTAGAACTTTTTGATGGAAAGATTTGTCTAGATTGACAATCTTCCTTTTGATACTTCTTCGTGTAGTTGTCATCAAACGTAATATAATAGGTTTCTTCAATTTTCTTTGATCTTTTTTTCAGAACACGATATGCCTTTGAGGTTAATGAATATACCAAAAAGATTCCTTCATCGGATTTTTCATCAAATTTGCTCCGATGTTCTTTTAAATTGAACAAAAGCACCTGGATCCAAACATAAGGAAAAATTTAAAATTAGGCTTTCGATTATTCAAAATTTCATATTGAGTAATCAGAAATCATTTATTAATGTAAGAGCGGTTCTGAGTAAAACAAGCAGTGGAAATAGCATCAACCCAGAAATATAAAGGTAGATTCGCAAATGAGAGCATTGTCCTTGCAGCTTCACAGAGAGCTCGATTTCGTCTTTCAACTACACCGTTCTGTTGCAGAGTGTAAGGCGAAGAGAAATTGTGAGAAAATCCTTTGTTTGTCAAGAATTCTTCAAATGCATGATTTTTGAATTCTAAACCGTTGTCACTGCGAAATTTTCCGAATTGGCTTTTGTAATTGTAGCTCACCTTGTTTGATGAAATCTATGAGCTTCTGAGTCGCATCAGATTTCTATTTATGAAAGAATACCCAAGTAAATCTATAAAAATCATCAACAATAACCAAAATGTATTTGTTACCACCAATGCTTTCAATAACAGATGGACCACAGAGCTCAATATGCATCATTTCGAGTGGTTCAATAATCTTGGTATTTATTATAGAAGAATGACTCTTTCTACTTTATTTTCTGAGCTCAGAAGCAGCACGCAAGTGTTCCTATTCAAATTTCAGAAGAGGCAGTCCACGAACAATATCACCAATTATGAGCTTGTTGATATAAAGTTTAGGTGAGCAAGCCTTTTGTGCCATAACCAACTGTGATCCGAGGAAGCTTTCGTAAGCAAGCAGATAGATGGTTTCCCTTGGATCAGATTTATATTTAGATGATACATATCTCCTTTCCTTTTTGACTTTAGAAGAACAACTTTAGATTTCTTTTCTATGATTTCTTAACCTTCTTCATTAAAAGACACTTTGAGACCTGTACCTACAATCAATTAAGAAACACTAGTTAGATTGTGTTGCAAGCCTTCTACATAAGCTACCTTCTGAATAGTGAATTCTCTATTTGTTATCATGCCACATCCCTTTATTTCTCCAGTGGCATTGTTTCCACACTTCATTTTTTCGCCATCTTTTAAGGTCTAAAACTCTCTTAATTCCGCTTTCCTTCCTGTCATGCAACGAGAACCCAAGCCGATTTGGGTCCATGTGAGAGTTTCATTTGAACAGGAAAAATCTTTGTTTTGTTAACCCAAAAGGATTTTCTTTTCAAAGTATGGTTCATCCCTTTTTCCATTTTAAAAACTTCAGTTTTGTTATCACAAAGATTGATTTCAACAAAATTAGGTTTTCGGAGAATGTATTCTTTGAATTTTGGAGCCATCCTTTTCGAAAACTCTTTTTCTTCCTTTTGCAACTTTGCTTCATATTCTTTGAGAGTAATTTCTGGATCCGAAGCTACTTTGTTTTTAACATTAAAATCTTTTGTTTTAGCAATCAGTTTTGAAAACTGGGACCTTGGTGAATAACTTGATTTTGGTTTCGGAGTTTGAGATGAATCAACATTTTGATTGAAAGATCTTGATGAATTAATAGAACTTTAATTTTAATTCATTCCAACTTTCTTCCAAAATTGTTTTCTTTTAATCAAGTTCTTTTTGTATCTTGCATTCATTTGTCTTTTCTTAGCAATTAATTCCTCAACTGATTTCTGAATGTTAACTTTCGGTTTTTTCTTTCTAATCAGTGTTTCATTCTTTTCTGAAGAAGTTTCAGTTGAAACATCTTTTGTGCCACTTGGTCCGGACTTATTGTAACAAGAGTCCACACGATTCAATGGTTCTGAAACATATTTTCCTTTAGATTTCCAGGAGGACATTTCTAAGAGACATTTTGTTGCATCAGCATTGTCTATTGGCTTTGACCAGAAAAATTCATCACACCCTTTTGCATTATCATCATCAACCATTGACGTTAATTCAGAAGTGTCATTTTTGCTCAGTCCTTTCTTTACAAAAACTTGATTTGGAGTTGTTTGAACTTTTGGAAAAAATGTTGCTTCTTCTTTTAAAACTTTTGAACCTTTGTTTTCAACAATTCGAATAAATTCGATTGAGTTTTGAAAAATTAAAAATTTCTTCGGTTCATCAAGATTTTTCACGAAAGCAGAACAATCAATTTCGTCATCTACAGATATTTCACTCATTTCGCATTCATCAAATTCAGAAATATTCTCGGAATCAAGAGTATCAACCAAATTCAATTTCTTGCATAATAAGCCATATTTCCGCATAACACTCAATTTGATTTCTTGTTTATCTTTTTCAGTTAAAATATCTTGCAACATGTTTTTATGTTCATTGGACTTAATATATTCTTCTATTTTCTCAAGTCCAACTCTGTAAGAATTAGAAATATCATCTGAATAAACAATTGATTCACATTTATAACATTCAACATCAATTTCATCTTCTTTCAATTCAAGAAAAGGAAAAATCATTTATGCAAACATTTACCTATTTCGCAATCCAAATGAAGCTGAGTAATAATGAAATACATATGTTTAGCAATTAAACAAAAAATATTTCGCTGTTTTAAAAGTGCTCTACTATCACTCTTAAGGAATATAATATCATCTCTAGATCTATTAAGCTCAACTTCCAACGCTTCTATTCTTATTCGTCTCTCCTCATTCTTAAATGTTACCTTGTTAAGATTATCAATTACGTTAGAATTACTAATACGAGTCCTTTTTAAGCTATCACTAAAAACAAAAATAATATAACGTAAATCATCCAATTGATAATCATAACGTGATGTAGGGATGTTAAGAGATTTAAGAATAGAGTGTACCTTGTCGACAACCTTCTCGCATTCGATCACCTGCTCCTTGATTGTCTTCGTAGCAAAGCAGTTATCCGAAGCTTTTCCACCATTAGTTGCATATCCTTGCCTTTCTGAACTGCCACGCTGAACCATCAAAAACTTGTCTGCATAACCTTGCTTCTCGGAATTCACCACAAAACACCTGCCATGAGTAGGTTTCCTTACTTCATCATCCTATGAGTCTGTAGACCATATCTTGACTCGACCATCATCACTTTCCTCTTGCACCATCAGCATAGGCTTCACATTTGATGCATTTTTCTTTCGGAGTTCGTCTAGTTTCTGAGTGTAGTAGGCTTCGTCTTTATCCTTCTCCTTCTTCTCATTCTGCTTCATAGCATGCACTCCTTTACGAAGTGATTCTTGCCATGAAAATAGTTGTAGCCAAATCCAGAATCACCAAGCAATTTCTTCTCTTTCTTCTCATCCTCATTCTGAGAATTCTTGTAACTCTCCTCTCTTGGCTTTTCGTAACTGGAATTGCCCTGTTTGTACTTGTTTCTGAAACGAGAAAAATTCTTCTTAAAGAATTTCTTTGGGTTAGACACCATTAACAATTTATCTTCTTTTGAGAGATCATCGTCAGATATGTCAGATTCGGAATCATCGACAACTGATTTCTTTCATTTAGCAACCAACGCCAAAGATCCAACACTAGAGACAAGCTTAGCTTCTTTAAGTAACTTCATCCTCATGAGATTTCAGAATTCCCACGAGTTTTGCCAGCGAATAGTTTTTGAATTGTTCATGTTCCTTAACAGTAGAAACAATAGATTTCCATTCAAATCTAAGACTATTCATGAATGTTACCTTTTTTTCAATGACTTGTCGCTTAAGATTGTATTTAAGCATTCTGGTTAATAAGTGTAGTCTGCAAAGAATGTTCCAAGTCAGCATCATCTGAAAATAATTCATTCAGTCTATCCCATATTCCTTTTGCAGTGTCACATGAACTGGCAAGTCGGAATGTGTCAGGGGGAAGAGCAAATCGAATAATTCTCATTTCTTTTAGATTACACATAAGCTTGATCTTCTCATCATTTGGAGGATTCTCCGCAATGTATGCATCATATTCAGCCTGAGTTTTGACTTCTTTCTTCATTTATGAATACTTGTATGTTTCAATAGT